GACCTTGACCTTGAAAAGGTTCGTTAGGAGGTTCGCAGGCTCTTTAATAGGGCCATGCGAACTAAGCTTACCGCAGGTATAAGGACCATATACGAACATCTAAATGAAGATTATTGAGGACCTTCTGTGTTAACATGAAGGGTCTTCCTGAAGTTCAAAAACTTTGAAGATCCTTATGTACAGTCTACCGCGGATGATGCTCTCACATGAGGAAAGACACTTTCCAGGTTGTGGGGACCACGTAACTTCGGACCCACTAAAAGGAGCTACCCAGGTCGGTGTAAGGGCGATCGACTGGAAAGCAGTTGCCCTGGTGGCTACCGAGGGATATCTGAGATGGGCAGTCAACACGTTGTCTCCACTGCTGTGGTGCCTGGTACTAGACGGGTTCCTCCGCACTCTGAGCGAGGACGGAGCGTATACACAGGGATACGTGGACGATCTCGCAATCGTCATAATTTGGAAATTTCTAAATTTAGTGAGAGCCCATGCAGGGGGCTCTTGGATAGGTGGTATATTAGCTTGGTTTCTCGGTTAATACCGTGGTTGTTCTATTTACGAATAGAAGGCGAGCGGACCTTGATGGGCTCACTCTCGTCAACTGGGTCTGACCAGATCAGTGAAATATTTGGGAGTCATTATAGACTCCCGTCTGGAAAGGGCACATTGGGCTAATACGCAAAAATGCCACCGCATATTTATAAGCATGTAGAAGGGTTTTTGGTTGTACATGGACTGGTACATTTGGCTTTACACTGTAGTGATAAGGTCAATAATACGGTACGGTACCCTTGCATGGCCTCTCGTGCCCAAGGCAACCTACAGGAAGCAGCTAGGAAAGGTTCAGAGACTCGCCTGAATGGGAGTCACTGGATCCAAGGAAACCAGCCAGCTTTGGCCAAGGAGGCACTTCTGAGACTAGAGCCTGCATACTTAGCTGTGGAGGCGGAGGCTCGCGAGGCTTCCATACGGCTAAACGATTGGAACGAGTGGAAGGATTAAGGCAGCCTTGGGCACGGGTGGATCTGGGAGGAAATCCTCAAATCCCATCCTCTCTTCGTAAGAAGCGATGTGGTCCGGGTTGTCCTACTAAGACCGAGTAGTTATAAAGTCCTTCTATCAGACAGGGAACAGTGACTGAACTCGGATTGCACGTTCTTTAAACCTGAGGGGCTCGTGTACTTTACAGACGGATCTTTAAAGGAAAGACGAACGGGCATAGGCATATATGGTAATGGACCGAGAGCTGACATCAGCTTTCTCCTAGGCTTTCTCCTTGGTCAGCATAGCACCGTGTTTCAGGCAGAGATGTCAGCTATCATGACTTGTGTACGGTAGAACCTCCGTAGAGGTTACCGTAGCATATGTGGTATGCAGTGACAATCAGGAGGCGCTGACGACCATGTCAGCAGACAGGTTCCGATCGGGTACGGCGCTTGATTGCAGGCGGACTATAGATATATTACATTAGCCTAATAGGGTAAGTTTGATCTGGGTGCCAGAGCACTGCGAAATAGAGCGCAACGAAAGGGCGGACGAGCTGGCTCGTGAAGGCAGTGGTGGAAGCGTCGGGCCCGAACTTACCCAAGGGGTTGATCTCTCAGGGTCAGGAGTAGAAGCCATTTTAGGAAGATCACCGGTGCCCTTACAGAACCTAGCGCCTGCATAACATTGAGGAGCCCACGTGCAGGTTCTATGGCGAGGCAGATGAATCTACGGAGCATGTGGTCTGTCACTGTGACGTTTTGATCAGAGACAGAGGCGCTTTCTTTCGGTGATCCAAACGCGTTTGGATTGTCAAATCACGTTCTTTCGAAGTGTGATCTTATGATCATGATTGCTAAAATCGTGAACAAACTGAACATAAAAGTTTTATGATCATGAATTCCTAACCTATAAATGTAAGGATATTTTTGCTCAAATGTTCGATTAGTCAATATTTGTAACTGAAGAGGGGCATAATTGTGCAAGTACTTCCACTTGTAGGTATTTAAATTATTTTCATAATCCAAACAAAAAATACGTAATTCGAATGCAAATGTGTACTACGTAAACTTAACCATACTTTGATTTAAATTCGCGCGTTCTTTCGTAAAACGTGATCCTACGAATCACGATTTTGGAATCATGAATCATGATTGCTAAGCAGCCGAAAGAAAGCGCCTCAGATATCAACTCCTTGGCGACTGATATCTGGAACCGGGGAGGTGAAGCAACTTAGGCTAAACAGGGTTCTACCCTTGATTGAGAGGAACGGGCTCTGAAACTAGTTGCGAATGAAAGGCGAAAGGCACAATGGGCGTTTGGTGTGCCTAAGTGCTGCATGGTTGGGCTCCCCTGTGTATCGATAGATAAGGATATACTAGGAATAATCTAACAACGATTTCAAGGTTTTAAAATATTTATCGGCTTCTGGGCAAATTTTATTTTATTTCTCGATTTCACAGCAAGAGCAGCAATACTTGCGAAATTTGGTGTAAATCGTTTTACCATTCTAACATACTCAAGAACGTTTTAGTTTATATCACTGTTATCTGAAATTTTAAAATTGTATTTACGTAGTCGGATGAGTTTTTAATTCATATTTGTCTATAAGAAACCCTAAACATAAAAGACCGGGGTGACAAAATTTAAATTTTTTAAATTTCATTTTGAATTCGGCATCCTTGAATTTAAATGGGATTCCTATGTTCTTCAAATGTGCGAGAAACAACCATAATATCGTACAATAATAAAAAGTATTTTCTTCAGGAGGTGGACCGAAAATGTTACCTTTGTTGTGTCGCTATCGCATTTGCAATACCAAGCGACATGACCATGTATTCGAACAACTTGAGAGAACGCCTGTTTTAAATCTATAAAAGTGTGTTACGCATCAGTTTATCAAGGTACGATTAAAATAAGGTAAGGGATGTGCATCTGCCTTTAGTTTAATTTTCTACCGTCAAAACATGACCCCGCTTGTTGTAACTATCATAGTTCGTGAATTTGATGGAGGGGTATATGGCCCAATATTGCAAATTTCTAGCATTTTATCTAAAGCCTTATTTGCGTGAATCTGCATTGCTAAACATGTAGAAAAATCTTGGTTTACAAGTTTTGCTTGTGCGACCTAATCCAGGATTAGAGATAAATCAATTCATAGGTTTAAAAGTTCTTTCCGAAGATGATTTAAAATCATCCATACAGCAAATTGCTTTAGATGAAATTTGCAGAAGTTGAACTTGACGAGAATTGTACTTATTAAAATCCAATGCCCCGTTACAGATTTAAAATGTTGCGGTGTCGCTTTGGTTTGGGGTCTCTGGGAAGCTTTTATAAATTTGGTCTGAAATCGTAATCGATGTAGAATATTTTTTAAATCGCGACACTTTTAGAAGTGCTGAAAGTAGCTTACTTAAATGACATCAATTTTTATTGCATTTTTGAATTTCAAACCGGAACTTTCCGGAGCTATTCTATTACACTGAATCGAGGAACAAAGGGTAACATTTACAAGTTTACAACATGATCTAATGGCGTGCCAGTTTAGCTTTACATGTCTGGAGGAGCCTTAAGAGCTTTATTGCCTCGAATAGCATCGGCGATACTGAAATTCACATAGTCACTAATTAAATTGTTACATTCTGTTGGTTTAAGTTTTTGGTCTATTATCGCCGAATGACATTTGATAGCCGCTAAATATTAAACTAAGGAAATTCAAAATTAAGTTAATGTAGGTACGATTTTAGTAAATTAAAGAACAAGAAACTATATGCATTAGAATTATATAATTTTAAAAACGATTACTGGAATTTAATTATTAGTGAACAGAAAATGAATGAATTCAACCTAAATGTTTTCATTTAAAAATTCAAGTTATTCTAATTTGGTTTAAACACCCTGCCGTAGACGCGATAACGAGAAAAACAATTAAATTTTGCTTGATGGAAAGGAGTTAAAAGTTAATTAGGGTCGGTCGAGTACGCCGCTTTTATTGTCCTTTTAAATAAGGCTTTATTTAATTCGATTTTTAAACGGAGAGACGGGAGAATATAGTAACCCTAATATCATGTTATTATATTTTTGTAGTGGTAGTGTGTGCATTATTTAACAATAGAAATGAAGCTAAAGCCTGTTTTACATGCTGAAAGTTACTTCATGAAAGTCGAAAGCATGGTGTATCTTTATTATACACCATGGTCGAAAGTAAAATAATTTTTTATTATACCTAAATCACAATCTCCGTTTTAAACACTCAAATGCGTGCGAAAAAGGGCCTTTAAAACACACGTGCTTTAAAGTTGCTAAGTAACGATACTTCAAGTATGACTTTTGAAACTGTCATCTGGATGAAATAAAAAATCCTCTTAGGTCGCTTTCTGTAAATGCAGAACATTTCTTTGGCTTTTGTACCTATCATTTGGTTGAAGCTTTCACAAACGCGCGTAATTTAGGGTATGCTTTCAAATCTGTTCCACTTTTTAATCGCAGCATTGCTTTAAAGTTTTGAATGAATGCACCAAAATATAGAAGATTTAAATACCTTTGACATTTCCTTCATATATGCCAGCATTATGGATGCATTTAAGACTGTATTCGTAAGTAACTTCCTATTCATCCATGGAAACAACTTTTCATATTCCTTATAATAGGCTTTACTGGAGTTGGATTTTACACCTACCAACGTTTGTTTAGATTTTACAACAATCGATTTAATGGACGGTGTATTATCTTTTTCAACGGAAATCGTTTAATTCACAAAGACGATGATTTTTATAAGCAAACGTCAAGTGACATTTCCATGGCAATCGTGAAATTACGAACACCCAGCCCACTTAATTAGACATGTATTCGAGTATAACGTCAATATGACTTCATTGTATTTCCTATTTTTAAATTATACTGCAGGTATAATAAAAAATACTATAAGATACACGTGTATAATTGTCTTTAAAGCACTTGCAACGTTAAAGGCACTCCGCTTTGCGTCGTGCCCTTAAACTCGTTGCGCGTGCTTTAAAGACTTGATTATACACTTGTATCTTAATATACTATTTTAAACACTCATTCTGTTACTATTTTGTAAAAAAATTAATCGAATGGAGTGTTTTACCACTGTGTCTCAATCCATTTGGTTGCGTAAATGGGTAAATTGCCACTAACCCGAAACTACAATTTTTCTTGTCTACCAGTTTTTCATATTTCTACTGTAAGGATGACGTGTTAAATGTACCCATCAATATCTAATACAGTCACTAATCGCCAATTGCACCGTCAACATTAAGTATCCCTTAAAGTTAAGCATAACTTAAATTTAGGTTTATTTAATGTAATGTTCTTTTAATTTTAGATGTTTCGAAAATTACATTCAATTTATGCTGATAATGTCTGCAATCCATTTTACATTCCCGATGAACCAATCACTTCAAAGTAAGAATTTTATGTATTTTTACTGAATCACTGACTATATGTTTGTAGATCGTTCGACAAAAGTGTCAAGCATATTATAAGTGGAAATTAGAATAGCTATATATTTTATAAATAAAATTTAAGGCGTTTACTCTATTACATCATATACCTATGTTCTAATAGTCATCAAATAAATTTATAAATCTTTGTGAAAAGGGGAGGGGGTAACACCCTTTTCATTTATTTGAATGTACTGTTATTTAATTTTGAAACACCTGCAACTTCTGAATGGACAGTTTTTTATACAAAGACATACCTATAGAACAGTAGGACATGTCTTTTAGTGATGATTTAAGGCTTATGTTTTGGAAGGTAATATTGGGAAGAAGACATCAGGCACTGGTTGTCGGTAGGAAATGAAAGCTGAACGCCGCCGTTCTGAAAAGAATAGTAGGTAGGTATTTTATTAGTCTGCTTATGGAAATAAAAAATGAAGAAACGTATTCGCCTCAAGGTGAGCAAAGATGTAGTATTATCTTTGAGGCGAGTAACTTTGGCGCATTTTCCATGAATTGATCAGTACTTTCCCTGTGGTTAAAATGTCATAGAAAGTACAGAAAGAATTTTAAGATCCACTATGCCTACAGCTTTTGAGCTTTTTTAATGGAAGCAATGTTTGATATCATCGTTATTGAGTAAAGTATCTTTCGCTCTTCAACTATATCAGGGTTGATATCTTTGTTTTTAAACACACATTCATTTTTTTTTCAAGTAGGTTACTTAGTCCATATGTTCCTATACATACATTTGCAAAATTCCCTGTATTTCAAACCCAAAGGCATTACCCACAGATCCGTATACTGGTTCGTGGTGGTTTTTGGTTTATTTGTTGAAACCTGAGCCTACTTTTTTTAGTTTAGAATTAGTGAAAACTTGGCAGACATAATGACAGTAACATTTTCTATTATGTAACTAAAATAAATTAAAAAAATTTCTTTTAAGGAGAATTGCTGGACCAGAAGAACGCCCTTAGAAACGGCACTAATTTTAATGCTGAGTGTTGCGGTTCCATTTCTTGTTGCGATTTCAACTGTGTACATTGTAGTAAGTAACAAAAATGATACAACACAATTAGCCTGTGAAGAGCACTGCCATCAGATTCGACATCGTCAAAGGGGTAAGATATATACAATGATATTAGGATAAGGTTCAGCCCGTTCAGCGAACGTAATGAGAAATGGTAAGAGAATTTACGAGTAGATACAGAAACGTTTTAAATCCACAAAACAAATTGTGTAGAAGTATATTCTAGAGATAAACATTTAACGTCTTTGTGACAAAAGCATTTTTTCTAACTCTTAACAGCTTCTTGAAAATTCACTCTTGGATATATGGTCATAGGGAATAAAATACTCACTGAAACGGTTATTTCTTTAAAATTTGAGAGGCTGCATATGAAAATTTCGAATGTTTTTTGCTGACCCGTCCTTGCTTTGAGTATTTCTGATTGCATTCTAATGTATAGTTATCTTTATGGTTTTGGTTTTTCCAAATAATAACTGATCATGATGCGCCTATTGCAGTATGAATAGGTATTGTTACCTGTAATGATTAAACCCCGAAGGCCCAATCTTCAAATGAGTAGGTATAACTTTTATTGGAAAAGTGATTTTAAAAAACTGTTGACAATTTTGTTTCTTAACGCATAAAGTAGGTATATGTACACACAAATTTCGTGAAATTCTCTCCATTTTCGTTTTTTGAATTTTCAAAAACTAATTTCAATTTCGTGATTCAAAAACCCCAGATATCAAATTTCGTCGAAATCAGAATTTGTTTTCGCATCCCCATGTAGAGGTGCGCCCTTTCGTGGTATTGTAATGGAACCGAATTCGACCGCTAAAATTTTAAATATTCGCGGTTCCTATTTTCTAAAAGGAAATAAAGTAGCGATCCGAATGTATTTTTTTTTAGAATCCGCCCTTGGCCGTCGCGAAAGAATTCAAAGATTATGCTTTGTTTCGTCTCCGTGGAACACTTGTTTTTTTCCCGCTGCCCTACATTCAAATGGGCCATAATTTACAATTAACGTCCCAAACCTAACGCTATACGAGAGAAGTTAATGATCCATATCGACCCGACGACGTGGAGCGCGTCGATATTAAATGTCTCGATTTCGATTTGGCCAAAAAGGGAATTTTAGGGGAGACGTATGTGCGCTTTAGTCGAAGTCAGTGGTAATTTTTACGTTTCAAATACCCACTTACTGTGAGCGTCTCAACTATTATTCAGGTGCTGTATTTTTCTTCTTTTATCTTTACATTTATTGCATCCATCTATTATTTGCCAAATTAACGACATTCTAGTACAGCATGGGCATTGTCATTTATAGGGCATTACAAATACAAATTGCTCTTTTAGAATTATACGATCATACTTTTAATTAAATGCGATACGGTACGGCAAGATTCCATTGTGGTTTCCTACGTGAA